ATAGTAATAATAATAATAATAATATTAAAATCATCATAGTCGTCGTCGTCCACCACAAAACGAGTACCGTTCACCCTTTTCTATTAGTTATATAAACACAATAAAGTAGTGTTACTTATATAATATATATATATATATATATTTATAATATTATTAAAATCATCATCGTCGTCGTCCACCACTAACACAAGTATCGTTCTCATCATCATCGCCATCATCATCATCATCGTCATCATCATCATTATATGATTTAATAGAGTTCACCCTTTAAAAAATCATACATTAAGCGCTGAGGATAGAAATCACTCGAGCAACTGTTTTTCACTCAAATTGGAGTGGTCGCCGACATCAATTTCTAGTGTGACCGGGATGGAAGATATCTAAAGAGTTTCCATTAGGTAATTAAACAAGACAGTGTCCTTGATGCTTTGTGTATTAGCTGGTTTTATTTTTGTTTTCCCGAATCGTTACTGTTCTTCATGAAAACTTAAATAGCATGTTTATCGATATATTTTATCGTCGTCATCACTCCATAATCGATCGTAAAACTCAATCATTAATTGTATTACCGAATGTGAAAGATTAAATTCTTACAGCATAAACCGTTGTAGCAAAATCCAGGTTCAGAGCACTGAGAACATCTTGGACCCTCAATATAGGGTCGTCGGTTGTAATTGCCTCTAAATATGCAATAATAATGATAAATTACAATTATCATGTGGTAATATAATACTACATAATATATTAGGTACATAAGGAAAGTAAATTGATTTATTCTTTGTTCTTAAATATTGTATAATTAAAAGAGAGAATTATTTTTAACTTACGCTGGACCGTAGTTACATCCAACTATAGTTTTCCCATCTTCACACGAATGGTAACCACAACCCATTTGTTTTGTGGTATCCCAAAGGACCTGGGAAGGCAAATGCATTAGGACTGTAATAAGATACACAATAGGATGCACTTCTTTTCGTGTTTAAATATTTTAAAATATATTAGGCCTATACTTAAATTTTGAAGCAATGTGGCCGCCGCCCAACGTGGCGTGCTGCCGTCCACTATGATGCGCGATATATGGATTAAGTAGCCGTCTAGCTTTAACATGAGGCTATCAAATGTTTCAGGCCTACGGACGTGCAATGTTCCAAGAGCCCAAAGATTCAAGTCAGGTTCAAGTAAGTAAGATACGGTTATTTAATGTGTGATGTGCCATGCTACCATCGGATGTGCTATACGGTCCTTTAATTTGCCATGCGGTCCTTTAATGTGTTATGCGGTCGCTTACAGTATTTTGCCATACAGAGTCCATATTACTGATGTTCAATGTTGCCATGCGGTCGTCAATATAAAATATCATGCGAATGACTGATGTATGTGTCGGTCGTCCAATCAAACGGTGGGCAAATGTGCCACGGGTTCATCTAATGTGCCGATCATTGAACATTTTCCTTTCCGTTCACATAAAGATAGGCCAAACAAATGGCAGATGTGTCATGCGGCCGTCCAGTCCAGTTTGTAATGCGGCCGTCTACATTACGATTATTTCATTTTCAACATTATCAGGCCTGTTATTATACTTTTTTTTAATTCATAATGACATTCCTAACAATAGGGGGTGTTTGCAATCTTACAAAAACGATAACGAATACGGTTACGTCATGAAATGTTTAAACACCCCTTCCCCTACAGTACAATACAATACATCTGCCACAACGCAGGCGATTCATTCCTTTTGCATGAATCAAGAATCATATTCAGCTCATACAGCATATTGTCAAGAATGTTTTAGGCACGAATTACGATAATGATTATGACGTATTCGTATTTGTTATCGTTTTCGTAAGTTTGCGAATCTCCCTATTGTACATACCTGTGTATAATGGCCGCAAACCTTGCCAGGTTGACAAACATGTTCGGTGTAGTTATAATATTTGTCCTCGTTCATCCAAGCCCTTACCGCGCTTACAGATCTATCAAAATATTATATTTATTATGTAATTATTTGTTAAGAGGGTTCTTTTTTTGTAGCATAACCACCAAGCTATAGGCCGAGTTATTTCTTATCATTAGTGACACAAGGGCCTGCCAGCATCTTTTTGGCAATGTTCCTCAGCACACGGATGCATCTCAAGCCTGGATTAATTAAATCAAGTTCTGAACGATAACAGATGGGTTCAGAATATGAATAATCATTATAAATGTGGTACACCAGTGGCTGGCGACCCCCGTTCGTTTACCGTGAAAAAAAAAATGGTCACTCGTCTTGCGTGTGTGCTTCTCGTGTACTCTGGTCAAAAATACAGTTTCTATTTTAAGCTTACTTCTTTTTTAAGATGCCATCTAAAATCTTCTAGCAGTCTACTAATTCCAAACAAATCTCAAAACCACCCCCACCCCGATCGGTCCTTCTCACCTCCCATTATCCACCACCCTCTCCCCATTGCTGAATCCTAGATCCGCCACTGTAAGATCGTATGCCATGTTCCTGATCTCTAGGCCTGTTAATGGAATTTACAAATCAGTAACCATGACTTACACTTTGTTACCGCCCCTCCACAGGTTTTGTCCCATTGGGTCATACTGCTGATTCTCGAACTCCACCTGTCCGTGATCCCACACGCACTCCTCCGTCCACGTCTGCACTGAATCTGCCAGCTGGTCGTTCCATGTCTGTGATACGCAAAGTCAGAACACTGCTCATTTTAAAGTTCTTGTATTATTAAAATTATCGAATTAATAATTTTCTCTTGTTTTTTATAGGCTTAAACCTGTATTACCGTTTTCCTATTCTTGTATCTTTTATAATTTGTCTTATTTGTATGTTTGAATAAAATATATTCTAATCAATGAAATAAGCCAACAAGAGCAATATGCATGAGATTTTGATCGTCCTGTCACAATAGGTGTCTCAGCTCGCAAACCTCCATTCTAAAAGGCGCATTTCTCCGTTTCTTTAAACCAACTTATTTAAACTTAACCAGCTTAATCTTGGTGATAATGAAACGCCTTGATAATTAATCGTTCTTTTTCAAACACAAACAAATGAAAACTATCGTATCTGAAGGTCTCAAATATTCAACAAGATGGTAGGCTGCAGCCAAGGTTCTAGAATACCTTAGTACAATCCACCTTGCGCAATAGGCCTTTCCGCCATAAGCCCCGACCTTCGTACACTTGTTGCTAAGTTCTCACAAAACGACAGCGTAAAACGTACGTAAACTTGTGTTCGTGGGACATGCGCGTATTCCTAGTCCTGTTCTGATTGGTCAGATGCTAAATCTCATGACACTCGAGAAAGGTCCATTAAATCGTGTTTGTTGCTTGTCACACGAATGACCATAAAGTGCAAATTTATCTTAAATAAAAACTTGTGAAAGTGAAAAAGAAAAACAACAATAATAGTCGAGACGATCATTATGCTGTTTCATGCAAATGTTCATGTTAATGTATAATAACCAATGGACAAATTTTCGATTATTTTAATTCACTTATAGTGTATTTGATTAGCAAACAATAGGCCAGGGAAAGACCCTGTAATTTTGGAAAATGTAAATTTTCATCTCTTTTTTCAACAAAAAAAAATAAATAAAAAACAATGACCATAATCTGTAGTCCTTACTACCAATATGACGTTTCATGCAAATGTTCCTGTAAATGCATACCGTAATAAGTACCGTTGTATGACCTAATTAGGCATAAAATAAATAGACGGATGTGAAACTAACATTAATTGCACATTGTAGATACTAATCACATGTATGATAGCAAATATCTTACAAAACTTCAACAGAAATTAATGTTTTATATTCCAAAGTTAAAGTACACAGAAGTTACAGTTTAATATAAAAACAACCTAAACTACTTGGTAAACAGGGAAGAATTGATTTCAATCAAAGTAATAATATTTAATCGAATGTTATGTGTGGCATTACTACTACCCGCAACAGTTACGTAATATAATTTATATATCTGTGTAACCTTTCCTTATTTACTGGAATGAGACCTAGGTGGGTTTTTTAAAAGATGCAAAAAGGAATTTAAAGAGCGGAAAATCTTGTTTTTTCTACTAAAAGTGTGAGCACAACGCAATGTATAATCAATTTCAATTAATATATCATTATTATTATTATTACTATTATTATTGATTATTATTGTTATTATTATTATTATTAATATCTATATTATTACTATCATTTTCATTGCTATAATATCCATATATAT